TGGTAAGCAATACTTACCTTCTGTATAGTGTTTTCCTTCTTCTCTTCTCTCACTTACCTTCCTTCGTCTTAATCTAATTGCTAGTAATTAGGGCACGGTTAAAACCCTGTGTCTCTCTACGTCACAAAGTATTCAACGTTCACTGGAGCGCGAACTGACTCCCTTTCATTTTACAAATACGGTTAAGACGGACTTCATTTTTTTTTTATAACTCTCTTATTTATTTATGGACATAATTTACGTACTTTTTGCTCTATAATTAACCAACAACTGCAGTTTACTGGCATTATATTTTATGAGCTGTCAGGATAATTTGTTTATTTTTCAATTCCAATGTTAACTGACTCCAAACAACTCATGTTTTTATTTTTTCTAACTGTTCAAGTGATAAATTGCCGTTTTATCACTAATAACTTTTTTATCAGTGACAAGTTCAATGCAACTACTGTTTCCTACTATTACCAACTCTTGGTTAACGAGATATCTTAATGCTAGATTTCTGTTTTACCATCTTATATACTGTCGATAAATTTTTTATTCTTGATAAAACAGAAACTCATTGATCAGAACCAACATTTGATAAGATTGTTAGCTGATAAAACAGTATCGCATCCCTAGAGAAGTCTTCTGAAAAATTCATCCGTGGTAAATGTCGTTTTCCAATTTTAAAAATGATGTTATCATAACTCGTCTAGACTAGAATCTCCAATAATTCCCTTTTATAGCAACTTATTGAATAATAGAACTTGAAATTCTTATTCTTGAACACTTTATTCATACAAAAAGTATCATTTTGATGTTCTATATCATCAAAGTATGACAGTTTTTTCCAGCCTCCAATATGTTTTCATAGCGTGATAAACTCATACTGAGAAATGTTGACATTGAGGTAGCATATTTTTCCTAGTTTCCGCAGTCACATCGTAAAGATAAATGTAACATCTGAAGACATCGTGGCAGATCGCGAATTTTAAAGTGGCAGAAATGCGACAGCACGAGAGACGTGATCAGCCTACGTTGTGGCACATCATATAGGATATCAAGTCTGTGTTCAGGAGTCATACATTACCCGCAACGACGTACTGACATGTCTCTTACACATTCCTACCTTCTAGTCACGAAATTCACCCTCGTCCGTTTCAAATTTATTGCCCACAACTCGGATCTTTCGTTTCCTATACACGCTACCGGAAGCATTTCTTTCATCAATTTTTAGCACGCAATTTTTTTGTCATTTAGAAAACTGCAATGTGTTCTTTAGAAACAATAGATATCCTATTTTTTTTTTTTTCGTCCTTCAGTTATTACACTTTTCCATAAAAATTCTTGACAGTGAGTTTATTGAAAAATAAAAAATAAAAATATCAAATAGAGAAATAAATAAATTAACGAATAATGATCAATAATGTAGTTTTAAAAATAAAGCTTTTCTCTGAAATTAGATGGGAAATGGATATCAGTGATCTCCTTGTCAAAGTAAATATTAATTACTCATACCTGTTACTTTGATAACAAGTAACAAATCTGTCAATAAAATACAATGATAAGTAAATAATTCTTCATCGTGAAATTACATTATTCACGACTATTTCATTAATGGTTCTTTTTTCTGGGCTGCAAACGACAAGCGGAGAATTCGGAAACCGATCGATGAATCCAATTAAATTTTGCAACACAGTTGTCCATATGAGAGAGTGAGATGAGAAGAACGAGCATTCGGTTGACACCCACCAAATTGCATTTTATGCACACACCCGCCGTTGACTATCACAAACCAAGTTGCTGTCTCTACATTTTTCTCTCTTATTTTCACTCCCCAGCAATTCGCAAAGTTTACTGAGACCCTCAATCCGTTAATTTTTTTCATTTTTACGTGATGCAAAGAACGCTAGGGAAATCTGTTTTACTACCTTCGGTTATTAAAGTCTTTTTCCGTATGAGCCCTTCACCACAACAACACTTTTGTCTTTCAAATATGAAAAAATATTCGTTTCGTACCGAATAGGGTGTTGAGTAAATTGCTAAGGAAAAAAATGTTACATTTATAAAAACATCATATAAAATCTTTCATGCTTTAAAATCTTTTGAGACTCCTAGTTTATGAATCTATTTATAATCGATTGCGCATTGGAGAGCAAGAGCTTTTGTTGCTTTTACTTTACGAGAGAACATTCTCCAAGATCCCATCGTAACCACAGTCTCTAGGCCAGTACTGCACATTCGACAGTTTAAGCTACATCATTAACTGCAACATAGCGCAATTTTCAAAGTAACTCTGAGTGCATTAAGTTAAAAATTCTACTAGACAAAATATTGATTTATTTCGTTGACGCATTAAAAGTAATTGTACTAAAATTACTATTTTTAATTGGAATTTAAATATTTTTATTTATAACTATTAGCTAATATAATTGTTTCAAAACTACTCAGAAATTTTGGTAATTAAATTAATAATTGCAACTAAAAATTCAAATATTCGATTGATTATTTAATTGAATTAAAATAAATATTGAATATTTATTTAAACTTTCACCAGATAATTTAATAAATAACTTATATAAAATATTCTCTATCGTTATAATAATTATTTTGTAAAATCTATTGAAGATAATTTTTATTTATAAAAATTCAATAGTTCAACTCGACTTTTTTTTGGTGTAATTACAGAACAAAATATTGAATTAAAGTTGATAATTGACGTATTCAAATGACTTTAAAAAGAAATTTAATCTTGATCTTGGTATCGTGTCATTTGTAGTTTATCAGCTTAGAACGACAGTATTGGAAACATTTGCCTATAGATCGTGACCCGTTGTTCAGTCATCCAGCTGTGGCGATACATTGGCAATGCAAATTTTCGTCAAAATAATCCATGCATATCGACGAGGTGAACCCTGCCGACAAAGCGTCATCCAACATTTCACGGTGTATTGTTAGGGAGAGATAGAAATAGAGAGACCAGTTCTCATGGTTGATTGTGTACATCAGAATATAATAAGTTCTATATAGCCAAATACAATCAAATTGCTTCGCTCATAGAAGCACGTTTCATCATACTGTTAATTCAAAGTACAAGTGTTGTGGCACGTGCTTGTATTTCTGTCAGAGCTATTTTGAAATCCTGCTAATGACTGTGTAATTATCATCAAGAAAAAAAAAAGAACATTATTTAATTGGGATTTGCTGTTTTACCAACAATATGCCACATGAGGGTGAAAGTGATACTTTACCAACAGCTTATGGTGTCATGATAGCTGTCATCACCGGCTTACTCGGTTACATTTTGTGGGTGAGTTTCCAATTTTTTTCGTGTCATTCCTTTTTTTTTCCATTTTTATTCTTGAGAGTTATCTATATTGAGGTTGAGGAAAAGCGTTAATTTTAAGCACACATTCAAGATGATGTTATGTATAGTAAGGTCCATGTGCGTTGTTCTATTTCCGTCAAATTACACCGTTGGCATCTTGAAAGTAAGACGTCTGGTGTTTTTAGCAAGGCGTGATTTTCACGAGACATTAGTGCAGCTTAAGAGACAAATCATATCGAAACTAAAAAAAATTAAAGCGATCCTCTGAGAGGTTTTTTTTCTGGTCTTAGTTTATGAAGCGTAGAATAAAGTTATTAAATTACGTATAAATAGCGTTGTTAAGTCCAAGGTTCACTCGAAATTACTAGTAAATTGGCTTGTTAAAGAAATGTAGTTATATTGGCAGATAACGAATAGCTGACCTTTGGATAATTTTGAAAAGGCATTTAAAATCTTTATTACTTTGGTTTGTAAAGGAAATCCAATATGTCGATGATAGCTTGTGGATAAGGATAACTGTGATGGAAAATAGATTGAACCAATTTGAAGACTAAAGATACAAACGAGATTTGAAATATAAAATATTGAAAAGATGGTAGGTTTATTGAGATATGTAAAGTAGTGATGGATAGATGTTGTTGACATAAAAAAAATTTTTAATATTTTTAAAACAACATCAAACAATTAATTTAATTTTAATCAAAAACAATTACCATTAATGAGTTTTGTAATGCATAGTAATTTGAAAATTAGAATGATGACTTTGTTAATTTCTGAACTTCGACCTGGTAAACTCGATGTAAATGGATAAACACTTGCTGAACATTTCTCAGTTGAATGTGAAGTAACTTTGACAAGATGACTTGGTTGATTACAGAATTCGCAGGTATCTAATTTATCCAACACAGAAAATTTAATGTTAGTTTTCTTTATCATTTAAATGTAAAATTGTTACCTGCTGCTTGTTTTAATTAAATTTCAATGACCAATAATTCAGAATATAGATCTATAATCTATTCATGTCACGAGTGAACAGCATGTGAAATGAAATGTTTGCTAGGAATTATTATAGATTCAACTTTGAACATTGGATAAATTTATTCTCATTGAAGACATTATTGGTTTTCGTGCGGTAGATCATTCCAAAATAATGACTATTTACATTTAATTATTATCAATAAATTCCTACATATTTTTCTTTCATTTTATATCTCAACGTTGCCACATCGATAACTCAATTATTTCAAACAATTTATTGAAACTACAAATTGCAAAGAAAAAATATAGAAAAATATTTTTAAAAGTTTGCTTTAAAATTAAAAGTAGTTAAGAAAGCGAAGAAGTTTATGTTTTATCGAATCTAAAAAAAAAAGTCTAAAACAGAAAAATTGTACAGATGAAAAAAGTAAAGGAAATGTCAAGATCACTAGTTGAAAGCGTCTGCAGGTCTCTAGTTTACGATCGAATGACGCAAGATCCAATAGATGAGATTACGGGTTTGCGCTTGAGTTCCAACACTGCAGCCAGTACTGCATTTCTCTTATTCTTACCCTTCCTTCTGAAATACAATTCACAGCTCTAGTTTTACGATTGAACTTAACTTTCCCATGGAGACACAATCTCCAAAGATGTTTTTTCGGCTCGGATATTTTTCCTTAACGAAATCGTATTGGATTTTAGAATGTTATTACTATTATCTGTACAAGGTGACGTGTTTATTTATCAAATCTTCAATATCAAGTCACATTTTCATATAATCTATTACAACATTGAATAAACTCATCTTCAATATTTTCCAACTCTTGCCGGATCGATTTTATTCGTTGCACAAATGTCGAGTAAATATTTTTCGAGTATGTTTCGTCGTCTTCAATGTTATGACAATTTTTATCAAACGTCGGATTCCTTATTCCCTTTAATGGAGTACATTTTAAATAAATGTTACAATATTTTATATTTCAAGTGAATCGTATTTTTCATAGAAAAAAAAAACATCAGATTAGTATAAAAATTCTCTAGACTGAATTAAATATACTTTTTATGTCTTTCAAATCAAAAGAAAATTATCGGAAAATATCTTACATTATTACGACGATAATATCCATTATTACTCGGTATAAAATCTTTATTTAGTTGTGATAAATCGAAATCTCGATTAGACCGAGATCCTTCGGGCATCATAATCCGGAAAATCTGCTGTAACTGTTGTTGTTGCATATCTTGTAACCTCGAAGACGATCGATCTCTCGATTTTCTGTGGAATCTATTCCTTGACAATTTCTATAAATAAAAACCCAATAGAAACATGACATTATAAATAATTCAGTTCTGTAGAGATGGTTAAAATTATTTACCTTCCAAGGAAAATTTGTATTCCGATTGCTATTTATATTTATGTTATTATTTCCATTGTAAGAATCAAAATCTCCATCAGATTGAAACAGCTTGAGTCCAAGATTAGCAATGTTAATTTGATCATCAAGAAAACGTCGAGCAAAATTATTTAACGATTTTTCAGGAGAAACAAGTTGAGAATTCGGCAAAATTGAAGGTGAAGTTATTTTGAGATTTATCGGAATATTTTCGTTCTGACATTCAGCTGAAAAATTTCAAGTTATCACTGATATTGAAGTTATTGTTACTTAAGAACAATATTTGATAAAGTTCTGATACAATACTCACTTAATGATAAAAATGATAGAAGTATACTGATCATAAACGATTGCATTAAAACCATCGAATTTATTAATGAAATAATAAAATATTGAATAATATTTGAAGTCACGTTTATACCATCAATTAAATTCTTTGCTTTTATATATGTAGAGTGCAATTACAGTTCAATACTGCACAACTTGTCGTTGGTATGAAAGTTTAAATTACCTTCGTCGTGAACATATCTATGGCTATTTCATGAAAACATTTTAACAATGTTTTTTTTCTGCTTCGAGTTATTCTACTGCAATCTGTTACCATTCGAACCGTGAAGAAAGGAATTTTTGCGCCAATTTGATTACGGAATGAGAATTTTATTGTTTTTAAAATACGTTGGATAAATGTTTACAATTGAAAAATATTCATGAAATTATTCAGAGATAATTAAAATTCTTTTTCTTCTTCAATTATTTGTATGATGTAATGTCTTTTTATTATAGAAAATTTATTTACGCATAAATAGAAATATTTTTTTTTTAAAAATAAGATTTACTTTATGATTATTTCTGAATATTAGTTTTATTTGAGTAATTTTTTACATGAATATTTTAATTGTGCATTAAGTTGTAAATTCGGATGAAGAGATGAATTATTTGTGCCAAACTCTTTAAGACATTTGTAGATGGACATTAGCTTTATTTTATAAGAATTTTAATAAATTTCAATCAGCATTTTTATTGTAATACAAATCATTGTTAAAATATTTCTGTTATTTATAAAAAATATTTTATTAAATCAATACTATTAATGAAAATATACATGCAAGCATTTATCAATCAAATAAACATTGCAACAGATTGAAAACTGCTTAGTAAATATTTATTTTAATTAATTTTATCTGAATATTTTTTTAAAATGTTTACTCTACAAAAATAAAATTTATTGATAATTGATACATACTTTAATTTAATAAAAATCATTTATTTATTAATCAATGTTGGCAAAAAATGTTTAACATAGAATTTATTTAAACATACCACTGAATAAATTCGGTTCATAATTTTAATGATTTAGGAAAAATACATCTGTTGAATTAATATCAAACCAAAGCAACTTCTAATTAGCAATTTATGGTATTTATTTTGTTGGTATTCTTCAATTGTCAACATTCAAATATTATGATAATCATTATTATTCATTGTAGATGAAAATGTTTGAAATGCAACAATGAATGTGCAGTAATATTACTCTACTATGTTTGTTGAGTTATTATTCATTAGTATTAGAGTTATTAAATAATTAAGAGTATTAGTATAATTATATGAAAGTTAAAGAGTCGCATTGATATGGAATCTCCTTTCAGCTTTTATGCAATTGAGTACCACATTCTCATCGCCACTGGTTGTTCAACTTCAAACTTTTGTTGGTATTCCCATTAAAAGTTTCATTGAACAGACTTGACCCGTAATACTATAGCTTTATGGTGTTGGTGTAGAATTTAGGAAATTGTTGATCCAATATTTTATCACTTATCTCAGCACAGCTTTTAGTTGTTTAGTATTAGTTTTAAGTGTATTACTCTTGTTAATTTAATTTTAGCAAATTTGCAATTCTTTATTTATTTATTTCCTTTTTAATCTTTTTGATTAATTAGTTTTGTAAAAGTGGGTAATTTTGTTTTTTAACAATGAAATTTATGTATCATCATCACTGACCAACAATCACTATTCAATTTATATATTTTTGCATTTCATGAATTTTTTAACTGAAGTGCTCTATAATTTTATTTTATTATATACACCAAAAGTTGCTTTGTAATTTTACCTCAATTTTGTTTTAGTCATTCAAAACGAACCTATGAAGTTAAAGTCGTTAAAACTCCATTTTGTTATTATAAAATTCTGCATTCAACCATTCATAAACCAGATGAGATCATAAACAAAGTATAAAAATTTTGTTATCAATTTTAAAATTTTTCAATATTTATATAATACAAATTATTTTTCAAACAAAATCACTAATTAACTATACCATATTTAATTGTTTTATTTCTAACAAAACTTTTAATTTAAACTTTTTTTTTTAAATTTCTAAAAAAAAGTTTCTCTTGATATTTTCAATATATTTTGAATTTTAACGATAAATTAATATCTCTATAAACGCAATATTATGAAAATATTTATAAAATTGTTTTTACATAAGTAATTTTAGTTGATTTATCAAGTATAAAAGAGATACTTTGTTCAAATTCTCATTTTTCTAGCTCGTGCAGTGTCACTTTGATCTTCTTTCAGTCTAGTCTTCACTACCTTCACTTTATTCTATGATCTCTATTTTTTTTAGACATAAACATACTTTCGAGACAATTTTTTCTCCATTAATCCTTTTGTTACAAAAATAAAAAACTTGTATTCAAATTTTTTCATTGATTCTAACGAGAATATTAATTTTTATTCAATTCTGTTTAAAGAACAGTGACTTATTTAGTTTCCTGGTAGTATCTTAAGGGATGGTCTTGGTATTGGTCCAGCTCCATCAATATACTGAGATAGGTCAGTGTATTAGAAATCATTTTGAGACCAATAAATATATAGTGCGCAATATTTTGGAAGTTTTTATGTTCTAATATTATTCAGTCAAGTTATCTTTTTTTTTCTCTTTTGTGGTAAAATGAAATTTGTTCTCGTTTCATTATTGTTAACATAATAAAAAAGATTGTTCATTAACTTTACTAATTGAGTTTGAGTTTAGAGGAATAATTATCTTTTGATAACGAATTTCTCTATTAGATTATTCGCAGACTTAAAACCGTTGACGTTCAGCGACTAGAATAATGCGAATAATTGAATGATAGAGATCGAACTATATATTCAACGCTATGTATGAAGAGCTCTGAGAATAGCAGCCAAATTGTTTGGGATTATGTTGAAACTGTTTTTGATGAATATTTTATAACTGTCTAGCTGACAAAAGGTGAACTCTTTTGTTCGCAAAAAGTTTGTTGATTTTTATTTATTTTATTCATTTATTACAGAAAAAGAAAAAATTTTTTTCCAACGTCTGGTCAACACTTGACCCGATAAATATCATTGTGAGCAATACAAAAGTTTAATATATCTTTCATAAATTATTTAGATGTATTTTTTGGCTTTTTATGCACTCTTATCTCAGAGTGTGCATAGAAACCGGCTTTAATATATTCAACTTTTATTATTTTTTTTTTTTATGTATGTTGAAAAAAATGTGGTAGAAAGCTTACCGTGTAGAGTTAAAAAAAAACTTTACGTGATATTGCAATTTTCAAAGAAAATGAGTAGCGTAGTAGCAGAGTCATATGCTTTCTACCCAACTAACATCACTAGTTGCAGTCAGAGGTTAAGTCCAGGATTACGTCACGTTGAAAAGAAAATTAAGTATTTGCTTTTCGGTATAAAACTGACTAAAGATTAACGAACCGCATTAATCCCTATTTTATTTAATTTGGCTACAAAATTGTTATGAGGCATTGTGGATGAAAACAAATATTTTCACCATTATCTTCGTAGATTAGCATGTTTTATTAAAGTAAAATATGAGAAATTTTTCAATGGCTTATGTAATATCTCTCTTATCTTTAATTTTGCTCTAAATTAATCTCAAAAAAACGTAGAAAGTCGGAAAATAGAATTGCAGGCTTCTAGATAAAATTAATTAAGAGTAAATAACCAGATTTTTATTAGTTTTATTTCGTGTCTTGCATTTGAAACAGACGGTGAAAAACGAGTTGTACATACTGATAAAATTAGTTGTTTATATTAAGCAAATTTATGAAAATAATTAACGAATATTTACGATCTTTTTTTGTTTTTTTCTTCATTTTGTTCAAATTTACACAAGTAACAGTGTTTTTACATGAGATTTGCTGTGTAAAACATTTAAAACGATACCTTTACTCTATTTGTAAAAAATCAACAACTTTTGAGATTTTTCTTCTGATTAATTAGTTAAAAATTCACGTGTCTTTATCAATTTATGTTTGATTTAATTTATTCAATTATAGATCGAACGAAGGAGTGTATTTATTTGAAAGTATCCATTTGATCACTACTGCTTATTGAACCATCATCGTCATTTCCATTTTCCTTGTTATTTTCTACTTGCCTTGCAGGACGCATTTGACCGAGAATAATACTACTGTTTATGAAGTGGATGTCTCTCGAGAGATTTGCCAACTCATCTGGAACAACTCCAAGCTGTTGCTTGATACCCACTGGTAATTTAACCATCCAAATGAGAGGATTTAGAATAATAATTGGCGAATATATTTTTATATTTTTACTTGGTGGTTGAATTGATAGTCTGTCAACTTTGTCATTTTCTTGAAAGCTTCTTCGTGTGCTACCATTCGAATTTTGTGATTCAATGTCTTTTTTTAGTGGAGGAGATAACTCTGACGTGATATTAAACGATTCTATTTTTTGCCAATTATTTTTTTCCTCTTTTTCAGATTTTTCGGTTGGTGAAACTGTGCTCATACCCCATCGACTGTTTGTCGAATGGTTTAAAAATTCTGACGTTTCTTGATTTCCTTTGTGAATTTTTTTTTTCTTCGATTTATTTTTTTCTTTCACGTGATTTTTTTTGCCACTTTTCTCTCGCACCGTCGATGTTTCCGCCAGGAATTCCTTTGGCGGGATTTTTATGCTCATGCCCCACCGACCAGTTTGATATTTCGTTCGATCAGTTAACTTATCGTCATCCAAGACGTTTGGCTTTGACGAGTTCATGTATTCCTCAAAAAGTGATTTTTTTTCATCATCTTTCAAGTTTGTATTTTTTTTATCATTCAAATCACCGGAAGATGAATCAATTTTTAGTGAAGACTTAGATTTACTATTCACATTACTTCGATCTTTTTTATGAACTACTCTATAACCTGCACAACTTTTTATTTTCCCATTTTCACCATTTCTTTTTAGAAGACGATTCCATTTTTCCAACTGTTTTTGAGTTAATTCTCGCATTTTTGCATTCCATTCTTTGAATTCTTTCTTCTCTTCGCTAATATCTTCTGGTATTTCATTCCCCTCCCTTGATACTTGAACACTATAATAAAAAAAATTAGTATTTACTCTTAAGATGCATAAATTTTAGAAAATTGATGAATTAAAATACCTGGAACTTTTTTCTGCAGATGTTTCAGTAGAACTTTCATTCCATTTATATTCATTTTTAAGCTTGAAGTTAGCTATATTTTTAAAATCATTTTCTTCTTTGGAATCTGCAATAAATCAAGTAAAATAATTTTCTTAATCTTTTAAAGTTTTCTTTAAAACATAACATCATGATATTTAATAAAAAAAAAATCACCAAGATAATAAATAAAATATTTAAAACAATATATAATTGTGTAATTGGTATAGATAAAACTAATCAATGAATTCAAAGGAGCTGTGTGAACTCGTTAATATAAAATCAATATTGGACAAAATTGTAAAAGGGGAGGCGTGTTTAATACATAAATTACTCCTTAAAGGCTCGTTTGAAACCACGCAAACGACTCCTTTATCAGAGGGGTTGAGTGGTTGGGCTAAGGAAAAGTATTTCAAGACGGAGCGAAATTCTGTGACTTTGATTTAAGTAGAACAAGAGAGCGTTAGGTCAGACAGAGAAGTACGAGGTGATCGATTATATTGAGTATACAGATACGCTCGTAAAAATCTAAAAAAAGAATAAAAGTGGAACAAAAAAAAAATACATATGTCAGAGGAAATTAAGCGCATGATTTTAATTACACAGTGTGTGCGAAACGAATCACATCAAGGTAATTGAGCAGTATTTAATTGACAATAACCATAAAACCTGCTATAAAGTTGATAAAGTCATAATAGTCTGGAAAATAAGTTTACAATCATTGCAGATCATTTTTTTTAATTGTAACTTTCATTTTAATAGTATTGAATAGTATGTGTGCAGTATATAACACTATTATCAACTATGATCTACTGGAAATGTTTTGAATTTGAATTTTTTTTATCTATTCACTTCATCCTCTTGTCTCTTCAACGAGCGATTGCCCTCTCTACGCTCCATTGTACTGTTTCACACTCCTTTTCACAGCATTTTATAAATTTTCTATTCAAGCGCTCGTGCACTTGACTTATTTTTATTTCGAATTTTCTCATGTATCCCCATTGGCACCTGATATTTTTTTTTTATCTCCTTGTCACCAATAAGAGAATACATTTTATTTTCCCCCGGTTTTCACTACACTCTTTTATTCCGTTCGATAGCAAGAAGAAAATTGTCTAGGAGGAGAATGAAATCAATTTTTAAACGGTTGGTTTTTGTTTTTGACATAAATAAAGAATAAACTGCTCTCATTTAAGACAGGTCTACTTTGATTAATTATTTATTATTCTTGGATTGAAAAAAAATGAAAAAAAAAATCATTCCCATGAGAAAAAACATACCTTGTCGAGATTTAAGTGCTGAATATTAATTAAATATCAATAATTTATTGAACTTATTATTATTTAGTAAGAAAGATGGAGTCGTGATAGAAAATCAATGAAAAATTAATTTTTATTCAAATAAGATATTTAATTATTTAATGATAATTGATATTCTTGTAAGTTCTCTTCCATAAAATATTATTGTTTTAATTTAAAGTCAATAATTTTAATTATATTCTCTCTTCAGGTATCATTTAATGAGTAATTCATTTAAAAATTTGAATAATTTGTTTAATTTGTCAAAAATATTATAGCATAAAAAAAATTTACGACATATTTTATATCAAATTTGATACTCTGAGTTGACTATAAATGGTATAAAATGAATAAATCGCCGTCGTTTATTTACCTGGTAAATCGATGGGAATCGGAAGTACCGTTGTAGACAAAACAAAGTCAAGAGTAATGAGTGTGGTAAACCACATGCAATAACTAAGTCTGCTTGTCATCTTGATCGTGGGATGTCTAAAACACACATTTACTCTGTACATATAAGCTCCAATAGAAGTGGGAGGGGTCGATTTATTGCGTAATCAAAGCTTGCTACAATCTCATACTAAATCTAAATGTCTTTCATCATAGATATTCATCGCAATTAATATACTTCTTTTACATTTTTTTATCGCTTCAATTTATAGGAAGAAATTATTCTTCATAGATTAAAAGTACAGTTATAGTTTTTTATTGCAAAATAAAAAATTATTTTCAAGTCTACAATATTTTAGTATGCAATTTAGTACACTTGTAACAACGAGAAAGGTAATTGTACTACATTATTGCCAACATTCACGTGGAACGAGCTATGTAGTAATCATCACGCTACAAGGGTTATTGAACATGTGTATAAAATACGTCATTGTTTGAATATCATATAGACAATATACATACGTCTGATACATGATGCTGGTCTATCTGCATTAATGTATTCTTTCGGAAAAATAGTGCATAGAAAAAAAAAATTTATGAAACACTACTATGCAAATTTCATTGAAAATTTTTTTTTTAGTCAAATGTTGAATACAATTTACATGTTTATCATAATCTCGGGAAATAATACATCTATAAACTTGTTGCAGTTGCATTTGTGATTGAATTTTTTTGCTTTTTTAAAACATTTATGCAATATTGCAAAATATTGTAATTCACTTTGATTTTTACTTGCATAAACTGAACATCAACTTCATGAATAAACAAGAAAAAAGGAAATATTTTTTAATATTAAAAAAAAACCTTCAAGCATTCTTAGAATGCAACAACAAAAATAAAAATTTTTATCCTTGAAAGAAGAAACTCTTTTTCTTTTTCTTAACTGACTCAAATGCAAATTCAAGTTTATCAGACATTATTAACTCTAAAGCTACAGAGAAATGGGTCATAACGAAATGTTTGTGATAAATGAAGGAATAAAAGTGACATTTCGATTGAAATTCGTGTTTATTATTTATAACTTTTTGCTTGTAATGCTGTATTAAAAATGTAACTAAAGTTACAATCGTTTGATCAAACGATAAAAATTGATATACCTAGTTGTAAAAAAAATGTTAATCTAGCCCCATTTTGAAGTCAAATTTAGGCCCAGAAGAGACAGTAAAATCAAGTTTATTTAGCAATTATTTTTGTAATAAGTAGCTTTGAATTACCATTAAATATTTTAATTACATTATGCTATACCTCAGCAAAATGTGATAAGGCTCATATATGATCATATTTCATTACTACTCAGGTCATAGAATAACTTTTTCCCGTTATTATCATTTTCCAAACAATGAAAACTTTAGGTATATATTCAAAAGATAAATTTGATCTTTTGCTCAGTCATACGTGTACGAGATTTAAGGTAAAACAACAAAAATAATGAACAACAGTAAACCCACATTGTGGTTATAATCTAAAACACCATATCATATAAAATTCCTCATATGCATGCAATTATGTTATGGCAGCTTCTATCAATATATTTCCATGAAACTACCCGAGCATATTAATCACGATTATTTTTAGAGTGTATATGTTTCTATTAAAAATAGACCAATCATTAAATTATATTAACGCTCTGACCAAAATTTAATAAACATTTCAGTTTTTCAATTTGTCATATTTAATTCAATAAAACTTCTCATCGCTATTGAAACGAATTTTTTGATGAAGTTTTAAACTCTTTTCAGATTAAAAGATATTTTTTATATTGTTGGTTTTAATATGAATTTTATTCACATAATATATCCATATACTCTTGTATAGGGATTATTTTCCAATTTCTAAATAAAAATAATTAACGATGGTAAACTACAAAATAGAGAATGTTGGGAAATTTCGATATACAAACATTCCAAAGCATTCCAGTCAATTTCGAATAAAATCACTGATATTTATTTGAACTGAAAAAATACAATAGTTGGATACAATAAATATTTCTATCGATGCTGAAAAATATATATATATTTTTGTACAAATATTGAAATAAAATTAAATGAATGTATATCGTTAATAATTATTGAGCATAGGTATTGTCCTATAAAGTTTCCAACTCGTCTCTCACTTTTGGTGACATTTCAGGCGAGCGTATCGAAGCATAGCCATGCTTTGGGCAATGTATAAATCTTGTATATAGCGTATATAATGTCTCACATAATACCCCTTGTGTTTGCGTTCACTTGTGCGTTTATGTGTTGACTTGTCCCTAGTGCTCTTCGACCTATACTACGATGACGATGTCTGCGTTAGCTCCTTTATTAGCCGGTCACTGCACGTACATGTCGAGTGAAAATTATTGCTCGTGTTCATTTTCAAATTAACACTGATTTAAAGGAAAATAGCCCTTGGGTACTATCACATTGTACGGGTCTAGACTCTAGGTTATTTAATATTTATTCGCTTCTATTCATTATGAATTCTTCTTTGGTTACAGCCGACTATATTTGGAACCGTGGCGTCCGATCTCAACCCAAAAGAGGGCAACAGTCGAAGGGTAAGTTTCAAATAATTTATTTTTCTATTCAAAATTAAATATTTCTTTTTTTCTTAATATTCTTATCATGTGTCACATGAATTATAATGCTTGAAAAATCTAAAGAAAAAATGTGGAATAAATTTATGTGATGAGTAAAAAATCTTCATCAAGTCTACTTCAGCTTTTATATTCTAGTGAGATAGGGTAGAGGTCAGGATAATTAAAAGTTATAGCTTTCCCAAGTGCCAGGTCCTCGTGACAAAGATAATTTTTCCGCACTAATTATTATTATTTTACCATAATTGTCGAGGTGTTTTTTTTATTCCTTAATTTCAAAAACATATTTCTTCAATTAATTTTATTTTTTTTCAACATTTCATTCATTAATTTATCACATTTATTATTAATTTACAATTAATATGACCTTTTTTTTTATTTCAATTCTATGAAAATGATAATTAAATACGACATTTGCTATTATTAATTCAATATATATTCATCATAGATTATCAATAATGGATTATTCCAATCTAACTTGATTTTATTATTCCAAATAGCAGAATCAAAGGTAAAATAATGGCTAATGTTTACTAAAAATAGAAATGATATATTAAAAATATAAGAAAAAGTGAATAAGCAAAGTAAAAAAGTATAAAAAATTTAAACAAATAATGGAAATTTTGTTTTGGATTTCACAAAAATTTTGTCACCGAATCCAAGCCTGAAGGTATGGTATAGACAATGTTAGACGATATCTAAATTAACGATCGAACTTGTGCGAGAGGTAGTTTGTAACAATTAGTCGATGAGATAATGCAACGCCTGTCTTGTTCTATCGTTTACCCGAATGCCCGACACACTCACCCCTACCTATCGATACAGGCTCCATCGATATCGTGATATGACCCTTGAGAACTAGCGCTCCCAATTCTCGAGTTTACTGAGTACTCTCAGATCTTTCGAGCGCTCCTCTATCAGTGCTGAAGGGTTATTTCCATAATATCATCACCAATATACATACATATTATTTACAAAATTTTTTTTGAATTTTATTTATCAATTTAATTTAATTTTGTTAATTATTTTCTTAATATACTTTTTCTAAAGTCACTTATCATAATTTTTTATTATAATGTTTTCTTAACTCTTAAAATATCTAGAGACCTTTGAGTTCTTATCACTAAAGAAAAGTTTCATAAATATTCAGTTTTATCTACCAAGTAACTTCATTAATTCACACAATACATGAATAAACTTGATTGTTAAAATTTCATAAGATTAAGTTATTTTCATGACAATGTTAGGTTACCGAAGATACTTAAGACTTCCTAGTGCTTGTATAACTGGTGTTCTGTGGAAGAATAGTAGAAGTAACAATGGCTATAAACGTCTTTATTATTCAACTGAAGGAGATACGTATAATATTATTGAATAAAGTGAACGGAGGGAACAAATTTACAGAAATTGTGGTAATCTGCGTATGAAAAGACCACTATGGTTGATTCTATTCTCTAGCGAATAACTTAACTGTTTCAATATGCTCAGTAAAAAAATAGAAAAACAAATTTTAAATGATTAACTTATATAAATATTAATAATATATTATTTCTAATTATTATTTTCACTTGAAATTTATTGAATTACAAAATTCATTTATTAGAATAAATTAAATAGAATTATTACTTCAATGTCGTCATCAAAAATAATTATTTTCAATGAAAATTGATATTGCCCATTCAAAGGTTGTATATGTCTGGATAATTTATTCTAGAGATGAACGTTTGATGCGTTCACAAAACAGCCGGAAAGTAATTAAGCAATAAAATTCGTATCATAAAATAAAATAGGCGTCAAAAACGGTATAACCATCTGATTATGCGATTCATTACATCAAGTGGTTGAGTAATCAAATAAATGTTGAGAAAATAGCAGGATAATCATAGTTAAATGGAAACGATCATTAGATTTAGTATATGGACAACAACAGAGGATACTGCTCAAGCACATGGCGCCATTGCTTCTGTGAACGTCTAGCCAACTCTAGCTTTCAACTATACTCTCTTGTCACTTGTGTAAATCCATCTATGGCAGCTCGTTTGTACTTAATTGTCTACAGCCACTGGATAATCCGGGAACATCGTTCGATAACGACGATACGGGCTAAAGGTAGAGAAAGATAACATTGCCGAAGATGGGACAATACCTTGTATGGTTAGCTATTGTGTAGAAAATTGGCTGTGATTTGAACAGCTCTAGGTTTTACCACATGATGGATTCATATAAAGAAGAACATGATGGTGTCAATGGGTTGTCTATAGTTCCTTTTGAACTATTGATTAATCTATTACATTTTATGGTCAGAATTATGGTTACTGGGTTAATTGTAATTATAAAAAAGCTTAACAATTTTTTAATTACTAAAAAGCTAATATTTTAGTGATATCGTTAATGAGAAGTTGGTTTTAATGACAGTGGTAATTTTTGTTGGATCTATAAAAGAAATTTATAGACATTTCTCATAGGTCAGTCATGATGTATCACAGTCTACTGAACTTGATTAGGACCAGGACAAACTATAAGTTCTTGCTATGGTCATCCTGATCCAATTCAAATTAAAAAAGGTCCAGAATCATGACTTTCTGAACTTGTTCTAGAATTAAATCAGCTTGATGTTATTCATATCTTAGACTTTAGACTTGAACAAATTCAGCTTTAATATTCTCGAGAACCAATGTGAACTTTATATTTGATATTTCTAAATTGATGAAATAATATGATAATTTTAGTGGTAGAAAAGACTTAGTTCATTGGATACTTGAAACAATTATACTTAGCAACTGTCCTCACTATTTACTGCTACCATATATGTATGTTTATGAAAATTCCTAAGCAGAAGCAAATGTCCCAAAGCAATTAATTAGTTCAAATGCTGAGAGACTACTGGTAAGAGTAGTGGGAATGTAGTTAGATTATATTAAAGGAATATTAAACCTCTGATGGTCGGTTGGTGGTTTCATGAAAAGGTGAAAATGTTGAGCAATAAATTAAAGAGGCTCACGAAAAGCTGTCTAGAGTATGAGGAAAGAGGCAACGAGTAAAACGAGGGTAAAAGTTTGGTCTTTGGCTGTTGGTGAAAACAACATTGGGCGTCTACACTGTTCAAGTTACCTTTGCTTGGTGGTTGCTGTCTTCATTTTCGTTTCTGCACTAGAGTTACACTCCCTCTTGATTTTCGTACATTTCAAAAGACTGGTAATCACAATGCTTCTTGTATATATTTAGCATGTCACTTCAAAACATTTTAATTAGAATTACAAATAAAATTGGTAGGAATTTTAAATGTGTTACTTTTGTTTATTTGTCTTGCAAATGATTCCTAAATCATTAAAGTTATCCATTAAAAATTTTCACAATTTTTTTTTTGCTATTACTTTAAGATTGAAACTTAATGATATTTTGAATGTTCAAAGATTTTTTCATAGATCAGTGATGAAATTTAAAGTAGATGGAAAACGTCTTCCTATATGAATTTATGATGTACCATATTATATCGTACAAATAATGATATATTTTCACAGCTCAAGGCAGTGGTTGTTTGGCATTTAAATATTATTTAAAAGTCAAGATAAAAATTGAATTTATATTTTCCTCGTAACTAAATAGATATTTATCACATTTTTCTTTATATAAAAATGGTCGTTAAAGATTTTGATCTCAGTTCATTTTGCATGCTGGTGGTCCCGAAGGTAAGAGGAAAGAGCATAGCAGCTGCTGCTGCCAGGCAATTTCCTTGAACGAGTTCGACATCCGTGCAATATATACATCTTTCTCTACATGCCAACAAAGAGAATCAACGTTATCGATAGTTTATCCATCTTTTTATAGTTTTTTACTCAAATAATGATGATGCACATTTTAAAATGTCTTTTTCACTTTCTTAACTTTATTCACTAATTTACATATCAATTTAAGTGAAGAAAAAATTTTTTTTGTGCTAAATTAATATCACAGTCGCTGTTTAGTCAGTTTAAAACTTTTGTATTCATCATTATATACATTGGAAGAAATTTAATACCATTTTGATCATTTTAATTAATGAATAAATGATTTTTTATACTCAACATTGATTAAATTTCACAAATAATTAATTTTTCCAGAGCTTTTAATGAACATGTTTAATTGATGTGAATATTTTTTATTTTTAAATAATTATTAACAAGTTTCTACAATAACGAGTAATTAAAAAAATACTTAATATAAAAATTTTAATAAACGTTTCCAGTTAGAAATTAATATTTGAAAGGAAAGATATAAGTTTGATCGAGGAATTATGATGCGAAAAAGGATAAAAAATAGTTGAGGTATGTTAAAACTATGGCGAAGATAGCACAAGTAATGTCATTAGTTAAGTTGGTGGAGAGATTTGAGCCTGAGTGATTGAACGCTACTTGGGCTGGTGAGCCATCGTCCCCTCACGTCGTCGAGATTTATTGAGCAATATGTTCTGACGTATATAAACCCCTGTCGCATCCGTTTATTTGCTTCGGTATCCACCACACCGTAAAGTCTCATGACTCTGGTCTCTTCCTAATGCGAATAAAATTACCATTCGAATGGGTTGAAATAGTAATTCACATTTCCGTTGGGTATAATTGAGAACTGATGGCTTGACAATTTCCATTTGTTTACCACTGTGTTTTATAGTAACTAAAAATATCATTAATTTCACTTGTAATTTGAATTTTAATTCAACTCATTATGAGTTTATTCTCTTTATCATGATTTTCATCCGATGAATTCACGTCTCGAAACTGTCATCACGCTCCTGGTTGCATACTGGAGTACAAACTGTATTTGCACCAACTGCGTGCATCCAATGATGATGGAGTTAACGCTAGTACACGCGTGTAGAGAGTTAGTAGAGATCGTGCCTGCTATGCGGGCATCAAGGCAATTTGTCATTTACACCAAGACTAACGTAATGCTACGATCTGCTTGTTTGATGGCCCAAGATTAAT